TATTTGTGAGACTTTGTAGATTGCTGTACCATGAAACAATATTGTATGTGAGAATACTCTCAATCATTGATCGATATAACATATGGTCTGCTGACTGATATTGAAGCTTCTCAATTCTCCTTGAACCCAGGTGTTGTCGTGCTTTTTTATGAATGTAGCTACTCCACATAACAATCAAAATTAAGTTTCTCATCTATAATTGTACCCAAATATTTAAAATTCGAGACCTGCTTTACAGTTTTTTAAGCCCGTTCTCATCCCAAAGCATCATATACGACGCTTTTGCCAAAGCGTAGACATCCAAAGCACATGGCACCCTTTAGCGTCAAATGAGACGCAGATATGGGGCAGAAGGCGCCTCCTAGTGGTCTAACCATACCCCTCCCCCCTACCATAACCGAAGCGTCTCATTTGACGCTAAAGGTTACCACGTGCGTTGGATGTCTACACTTTGGCAAATGTGTCGTATATGACGCCTTTGGATGAGAATCTGTTGTTTTTTTATTCCTTTATGACAACCTCTTGATTGATTTCTCAAACATAACTCTTTTGTCTTTTCAATATTAAGATGTAAAGAACTGCCCTCAAACCAACAGATAATACTGTCAATGTACTCAAAATATGAGGTGCATTTCATTTCTTTCTGACATGAGACCAATGCCATATCATCGGAATATTTTCTGAGGGTAAGGTTATCGTCATTGCACTTGAGTTCATTTATAAGTATTGGAGACAGTACACATCCCTGTGGTACCCCAGTATCTAAAACCAAGCAATCCGACATAACATTATTGTTAACGCAGACTCGCTGAGGGTGACCTTTGAAAAACTCCTTAATCCATAAAATCATCCAACTGCTAGCAGCACCTAACTCATAGAGGTGCTTTAAAAGAAGAGGTTGGACAGCATTAAAAGTGGATGAGAAATCCATAATGAGTATTCGAACATGGGTATTTTTTAGTTGTCTAGATGATCCTAAAAATTCCCAATGATGAAATGCATTACTAAAATTCGACTAAGGTAAAATAGACATTAGCAATATTTTCTCAGTTTAATAGGTAAAGTTGATCTGTGTCAATTCAAAACCAACATAACAATGTTTGGTAACACTTTATTTTAACAGTGTCCGTGATACAGAGTAATTACTTAATTAATTACTTAGTAGTAAACATAGTAATAACATGTAACAAAATGTAATTAACATGTAACAAAGTTATGGAACAGCCTGTACTCTCATTACACTCATGTAATAGGCAGCTACTGTTACACACGTGTAACAGGCCGAGTGGGTTACATACGTTTTACTGACTTGGTACAATGTAATTATATATAAAATTACTTTGTACTACTCAATGTAACAACAACTATTTAAATATGTTACTAAGGTGTGAAAAAAGCCTGCAGTTCCACATGGTCATTTTGTACCTTCTAAAATAGTGTATCAAGATTGTACTTAAGTGTACTTCATGTGTATAAGGTATGTAGATAAGGAATGTACGTAGTGTATCCCAGCTGTGAACGAGGGAGTTAAGCCTAATTTAAACTAAACTACATCTGGATAAGGTTTGTAGATCGACATGTAGTACACTTAAGTACAATCTTGATACATTTTATTTTACGTAGCTTATCCCTGTGTAATATTATGTAATTGCAATGTAATTAGGAAGCTACCGCATGCATTTATGCTGTGAATGAGGGAGTTAGGTCTAATTCAAACTAAAGTATGGACAAGGTATGTAGATACACATGTAGTACACTTAAATACAATCTCGATACACTTTATTTGGTGTGAACAAGAGGGTTAATTCAGATAGATACCCATGAAGTGCACTTAAGTACTTGATACACTTTATTTTAGAAGGTACAAAATGACCATGTGTAACTGCAGGCTTTTTACCTTAGTAGCATATTAAGTACTTGTTACATTGTACCAAGTCGGTAACACGTATTTAACCGACTCGGGCTGTTACATATGTGTAACAGTAGCTGCCTATTACATGAGTGTAATTACAATCTATAAGAACAGGTTGTTCCACAACTTCGTTACATGTTAATTACATTTTGTTACATGTTATTACTATGTAAGTAATTAATTAAGTAATTACACTGTATCACGGACACCGTAAAATAAAGTGTAACTGTTCTTTTTAACATCTGTGATTGTTGTAGATTTTTCCAAAAGCCAAAAAAAAATGAAGAAAAATCAAACATCATATCAAAGATGGCTAAAGGCTATTGACAAAAATCTCAGAGATGTTTAGATTTAATGTTTATGTTGTAATGTATCTTAAAAAGCAAGTAAATCAAATCTAAATAAAATTGTTCAGGACACAATTACATTCAATTTTTGATGTCTGTTGAAACAATTTCTAGCACTTCATGGCTTCAAATGTTTTATTTCTTTTTCATTGTTGTAAGACAGTGAATGCCAAAACAAAAGAGACTGCCTTATAAGAATGCAGAAATACAGAATACCCAACTGAACAATGTTTTAAAGCTGAAAAATCAGCAGGAGCGGTGTGTAAACATAACACTTAAATGAGAGAACTCACAAAGAGTTGACCACAGTGCACCTTAATTGTCTCAGGATTCAACTCCTGTCTGCCTCTTTTTGTCTGAATAGATTAGTCCCCAGGTCAAAGTTTGGCGGGCCACCGCTCACCCTCCCCCCGTCATGAAATATTCACCACATTCTGCTGTTGTCAAAGCAACAGGCCTGACACCGCAAATCTCAAAACAAGGGATTAAAGCAGAGGGGTTAAGTATATATAATGTAGGTTTGAAATGTTTTAACCAATGAGAAACCAAAATGCATGTGCTGGGTTGACCTATTTTTAGACTTCCTTTTCCTGCAACATTCTATACAAAAAGATGCATCATATTCCACTTCAGAGAGCAATGATGTCACTGATAGGCTACTATGTCCCAGATTTAAAGTAGATTCTTCCTGTTTTACGACAGATGGCATCAGTTAAAAAAACATCTTACGAGTAGTTTTCAGATAAAACGGCTGCACCTCAAGCTCCCCAAGTTCTAAACTAGCTGATTGAACGTGTAATTCTGTTGTCTCTATAAACCGCACAGTTGGAGGGGAACAGGAAAAGCATTCTACACTTCTTGATGGAGCCCGTGAACTCTGACCTGCTGGAAGAATATTCACATGCATCCTCCCCCACTTCTCTCTCTTTAAACCACCTCTCAGAGTCAAAGTTGTTCTGCTGTGGAAAACAACAGGTTGCTGCTTTCAGGTCTTATGTTTAATAACTTAGAAGAATCTGTGGTGCAGAGGAGAATGCAAACACATTCTGCAGAATGCAAACACCTCAAGAATAGAAGGAGAAGTAACAAGTGTTCTTTGTAAGGGCAAAATGTGTCTGCAATGCAAATACACTCGGGATAAAACTGAATAGGTTGCAGCCTAAAGGGTACATTCAATGTAAAACTTTGAAACAACAACCCAGTTGGGGAACCTTCTCAGAACTTTGGCTAATGTTCTGGCAAAGGTTCTCTCAAACATTCTTCCAGAAACGTCAATAGAACGGTTGTTCAATGCTATCTGGTCTTTAATAAAGTTCTCAAAACATTAACATAAAAACACACATTGTTCGTGGAATGTTTATTTTTTTCTGAAACGTTTTACTTGGTCATTCATCTAGTTAAGGAGAACATTCAAAAGAAACGTTTCCATGTTTGCAAAATGAAAGTTCACTGAACATTCAGAAATAATGCTTTCTATATGTTAACATTGTCGAAACGTTCTTAGAACATATTTTGTTGGTCTGGAAACCAGACACACATTCTCAGGTTCAAATGCAACCCCCCTCTCCGTGCTCCTGTTATAAAACTCAACCTTTCGTTTGTATTTCACATGTGATAATTTATACTCATCTTTCCCCCCTTGTGTCCAGACTCCTGTGTGTGAGGTTTTGTGTGTGCCTGAGAGGAATTGTGGGGTGAAAGAGTTCAGAATTGCCCTTCCCCCACAACTAAAAAATCCATCGACTCTCGCTCATGGACTTCCATCTCAAAAACAAGCCCTTAAAAGGGTGACAGTCCCGATTACCACGAACCAGGCCTAATTGTACCCCTCTAATTGTCAAGCATTCACACAAGAGGATTAGACAGAATAAATGATGTATTAAAATAGAAAATATGATAGAAAATGTCTGAGAAAAAAACAAAACAATAGTTAGCAGAACACGCATTGTCAGGCGGGCAGCTGTGTGGCGTTCGATAATTGCGCGAATGCGTTGATTAATGATCAAAGCTGTGGGCCTGAGGTAGTGTGGCTGGTGGTTAATGACAGGGGTGAGTCTGGGATTAAATATGAGATGGGTAAGTGGAGATGAGGGAGTCAGGTTGCATGTCTTTTCAGACCTACTGTTCATACTGGAGCATTGTGAGCGGGCGAGGGGGAGGCACTGGGGCCCAGCGGCAGCCACAAGCGACAGCTGTCACAGCCTCTGGTGAGAGCCACTAATGACCACTCTTCACATAGGTGTCCTGCAACAGCTCCAGCCAAACAACTACTGCATGATCCACTTCTGCATGGCAGGCCAGCAAGTTACGTAACGAAGAGCTGAAATTATACAATGGCGATTAAGTTTGACTACTGACTTTAAATTGAACTGGGTTTTTTATTTTTTTTGAAAGGGCAAGTGTGGTTAATACTTCAAAACAAAAGAGTTTCACATGTTCAAAAATAATATTAAAAGGCTACATAACAATAAGAATTGGCACATTTGTTTTTAATTATTTTAATATTTTTATTTATTTATTGTTTTTTTTTTTTTGTATATTAAATGTATCGGTAAAAAAAAAAAAAAAAAAAAAACAGCCATACAGAAATGTAGAAATGTTATATTTTCCCGAATAATTTCATTTAATCGTAAAATGTCAGTCATCATTATCACTTTCTTTGCCAGACAGATATTGCCATTACAGAGCAGGCTATTACCATTACAAGTCTTCTCAACGCCAGACTTCTGCATCACCTAACTTTATGCTGAACAAACAATAGTCAATGAAAGAGGGAGGTACGGAACCATTGCCGCTCCAGGTGTCGCACGAAACACACGGGGCACTTCGCTGTCGATCCGTCTCGATCTGGATCAACGTCGGTCGATGTCATCACATTGTTTCCTCGATCTACAAACCAAGATGATGTGATCGCTTTGATTCGCAATTTCAACGCTGTGGTCATTTGGAAACTGCGGATGCCACTCAGTTTGTCATCATCATCTCGGAGTGTCACCTTGCGTTTGTGCCGTTGCCCCACAACTTCATTACGTCATTTATATCTTCCGAGGTAAGTTTCGAATCGAATTCTGAGCAAGAATCGACCTTAAACAGTAAGAACATGTAGTGTGTTAATAATAGTTCGCTACTTTGAAGGGAGATTGGACGAAGAGATTTCGCTTGGACTTGCTGTCGTGATGTGAATAGGCATTGTTTCTGCGCTGGTGGTGTAACTGAGATTAAGATTAGAGATCATTCTATTGGTAACTCACTTTGATGATAGTCACACATTGATTATTTCCTTTATTTATTGTAAACAGCCTGTCGTGTCGCCTACTCACATAGGCTATAACCTCTGCCATAACCCATTTTGTTTGTCCAGGCGCTATTTTTAGGAAGTTACTCTTCTGAAGAGCTTCAGCCATTAAACCATCTATATGGAAATAAATCGGAAGGAATTTAATCATTCTGATAATACGGTTCATTCCATTCCATCAACGAGTCTTTTAATACTTTTGAGGAAGACATTTTTGAAGTAAGAAATCCTAATTGTAGATTTGCTGCACTCAGCAGTCTGTTGCTGGAGAGATCGAAGAGATCATTTCAGATTTCTACATATGTGGTCTATAACAAATCGGAAATAAATTAAATAGGTCTATGTTTGGCAAAGAGTGTGTTTAATGAGTTTCCACAGACTTTTAGTGGCATACATACAATCCAACGTTGCCTAATTAGCGTTATAGGTTACACAAATAAAATGTTTATTTTATTTACTACTTAGGCTATATAAAATATTATAATAGCCTACATTTTTGGAAAAGAGTGTGTTTAATGAGTTTCCACACTACTTTTTTTTAGAGGGGGCAGGCTACAATCGCCTAATTAACACCTTATAGCCATAGGTTACATAAACAAATAAAATATGTGTTTATTTTTATTTACTACTTATATTGCATATTATAATCACGAGAAAGCAAGCTTTGTGGTTATATTAAAATGACTCAGATTAAAGTGCTTTTGATTCACTAAAAAGAACCGACTCATAAGAGCCATTTTGTACTGATCGCTCTGTATGTTTTTGATTCACTAAACAGACTCGTAAGAGTCAGCTGCGCTATAACGAACCGGCTCGTAATAGAGTCATTCGGGCTACATAGTTGCGTTGTGTTTTGATTCATTATAAAGAACCGGTTCGTAAGAGAATCATTCTGGAATCGGACAATGCTTGCTGCTGTATAACGTTGTTGGCCTACATTCAGTAGCGATGTTTGACAGCTGTATCTGTGTATCAGTGTTTTAAGATTGCACATTCAAGAACTTTGTGTAAAAAATTCAGATAGGCCTATTGTTAATTGGAACCTGTTCCTAACCGGTTCCCAATACATCTGTCATCATTCAGAAATGTTAAAAGCTGTTGAGTTGGCAAGTCGACTCAAGCCGACAAAAGTTTCTTTTGTATTTGAACATTTGGGGAATTGACGCCAAATTTATTTAGCCTAGGCTAGCCTACTTGTATTCATAACCTTTAACTACCAGCTTGCTTTTGACTGTTTCAATTTAATTTAATAACAGTCACAACGCAATACATTAATTCTGCACAAATCGTTAATATTTTAACTAAGCCAAGCTCAGGAAAACAGCCGTGCATTTAAATAATAAACTTGTTGAGCAACACATAACTGAAAACCAATTATTTTAGATGTAAAAAAACAAAAACAAACATGCATGCAATGCCAGGCATTAAATTAGGTGACAGCTATCTTCAATCTTCCTATTGATTTTTTTCGACATGATTAGACCTACGTTCAACATGATCTATTATTAGTTTTTTTTTTTTTTAAATAATACACAATAGCGATCAATTGCTTCGCATGGTCTTAAATCTAAACCCAATGTTACTTTCTGAGCTATAACAGTCTAGGGCGGGGCTTTGGTGCTTTACTTTTTTGTTTTGTTCAGTTTTTTCCCCCTCCCCTCTCCCTGAAAGCTTGTCGGATGCTTGTCAGTTCGCATTTAGCTTACCATTATCAAGGCTCAAAGCCTTTGGAGGACGACGGACTGCGATTTACAGGGAATTTTTGGATAACGGTCCTGTTGAATTGGGATCTTCACTATACGGGGATAAGGAATAAGCTATTATGAATGAAGCGTTTGAAAAGCAGCAGAGGATGTTCGTGCTTCCTTAAGAATGTGCATGCCTGATTTTTCATGAGGACACTTAATAAATAAAAACATATGGTAAGACATTTTACAATTATAAAACTTAATTAAACTAATTAGGCCTAGTGTGAATATTGACTATACAGTATGTGATTATCCAGCAAACTTTGATTAATAAACACCTATGGCCAGTTTCAACAAACCTCTATAAACTTGAGAAAACCTTTACTTCTAATCTTATGTTTTTTAATGAATTATTTTCAAAATGTTTTTTTTTTAAATTGTAACTAGGGGTTTAAGTTTACTTATAAGGAAGGTTTCTTATTTGTCGTGCTTATTAGTTTCGATACAAACTGTTAAGTTGGTGTTTGGTGGTGTTTGAAAATGATAATGAGCAAAATGAAGGGGAGGAGGGTAGGGTAATACGTGTGAGAATTATCATTATCATGGCTGTCATGATGCCAAGGAACATCTGCTTGTGTGAAGCTGAAAGTTCATGTAACAGTCAAATAACTTGAGGGAGGTTTTTGTGGTAAATGACCCAACAGGCATGTGCAGGGCTCTCTTGTTGTATTATGAGTGAATTTGCTGGCATAAGGGCTGTTGGGGGGCTGCTGCGGGGATGGCGTCAGCATACTAGTTAATACCCCTTTGCTTTGTGATGAGGGGTCTGTTTTTGGCCAACATGATTTTGAATGGGATACTTCTGCATGTTCTGGCTTTGCTAAGTGTATACACTATGGCTTCGTATGGTTAGAAGTGCAATATTTGTGGGATTACGTTTTGGCAGATGACCTAAACTGGTGTTTTATTTGGTAACATCTTAATTCATTTAATCCCCAAATTGTACTCTGCGCATGTGTCATTTAAACCTAAAGGAACAAACTGCATGCTTTTTCTGAGAAAAAAAAAAGGTTAGTGAAGATATGTGAAAATAATTAACTCCTCAAAGTAACTGCATATTTTATTGTGTTAGCTATTTAAGGTGGGTTAAAAAGGTGCAGATGACACTAAGCAGTAATTCTTGTGTTCTGTCCTGATAGACAAAAGCCTTACCTTGCAGCACCAATGGAGATATTTGCATAAGCCTTTGCTAAAGTCACTTCCCTTTTATTTGCAGCTGGTTACTGTGCTCAGCCTCAATGAAGCAAGTTGTTTACACGGCTTCGGTTCACGCACTACACACCTTTTGACAGTGCAAATCAAACAGCCTGTTCATTTGGGAATGAGTGAGTGGGTGTTGTACTGCTTGTTCGAGTTGTGAAGAGACCTAAGCAACCTATGAAATCCCAACCGTGACTGTTCTGAGATGTAAGGAAAAGTGATAAGATGTTGTTTTTTTCTCTGAAAAGGGCCAGGGGGCTTGGGTTCAACCATGTAAATGTCGAAAGATGTGGTGTTTTTCTCCTTTTCTCTGAATGAGAATGGAAAGAGCAGCCTTTTTTATTAAATTCAAAGAAGTTAAAAACAGTGATGGCCGAATTGTCCTTTTGATTTAAAATGGATCCCAAACTGTTTATATAGTGACTATGAAAGACTCAGATATTTGAAATACTTGAATATTGGAGCTTTAATAGTGTGAGTCTATCTAGAATGCGCAATATGGAAATTTTATGCATCTTCCTCATAAATTCAGAGGATTAAATAACATTCCTAATTTGACATTTCCCTTTATCACCAGTCTATTTTCTGTTTGAGGTTTATGGCTTGAACTTGTATTGACCTTGCAAAACTGACCCTCGACATTCTACTGTGACTTAACAAGCATTTCCAGTCCTCTCGCAATCCCTAATAGCGCAAGAACCGCTAGCTGGAAGAAGGGACCATTAACATTATCAGTGGCTTTGAGTACGGGAGGCTAAAACAAAAGGCACAAGGGTGGCATTGTGAAGGATCAGCAGTAGATTACTGGAATTCTTTTTCCATGGCCTGAATAAGCTTCTACTTCCCCCATCTGGACAAATGAGAAGAAAAGCTTACATTTGCAACTTTAATATTTTAATGCCTTTGTTTTACTGAAGCAATATGAGGCTTCTTAGCCATTAATGTCATTTGCATTCAGAAGACATACTGTAATAATGAGTGTCGCAAATGTAAGATTCTTTTGGTGAAGTGTGTGCAGTAATGTTTTATGATGCGTTCTGTTGATTATTAAAACATTCATAGGAGGGAAATAGATTTAACGAGTGGGCATTATTGCTACAGAATGCTTAATGTGTATTATAGTATGTCACAAAGCTGTTAAATGTTTCATTGCTGCATCATTACCTCTCGTTGCTCATTAAATTAAACATACACTCACATGTAAACACCCACGTTCAGAAACAGACAGATGAGAGAGAGGGTTGGAGGATTGGGTCATGTATATGTCATCAACTGAAGTGCAGTTTTACCTGTTTTGGATTAATTTGAATAACTGTCTGTTTGATAAACAGCTGAATGTTGTACATCCAGTCTAATAGAATCATAATCAGGAAAATGGTGTTCATAAGCACACACACACACACAGTTCAGTTTGAGAGGTAAAGTAATTTGCCATTTATCCTCAGGAGCAATAATTCTGAAATGAAATAACCATAAATTTTCGGAGTCCTCTCCATTGTGGTCTTAATCTACCTTTGGTTTGAATTACGGCGAGAGAGTTAAATGAAAATGCTCGATTGTTACCTTAATGGGATCATTTACACAATCATCATTTACTCATCATCAAGTTATTTAAAACCCTTATGACTTTTTTTCTGTAGAACATAGATGTTAAGTACAATGTCTGAGCTGCTCTTTTCCATGCAATGGACGTGAATAGGGACTGAGGCTGAGAGGACGAAAAAAAAATACTAGAAAAGCAATATAAAAGTCGATATTCTATATTAGTTCACCCAAACATGAAAATTATCCCCTAATTTACTCACC